AGAAGGTCTTCAGCATCTACACCAACTCAGTCAGGGATTGTAAATGTGGTTCAGCATGTGATCTTTAAACAGAACCTGGCTCTTTCAGCAGTTATGCAAGTCCAGCCAGAGTTTGCTAGAGAAGTGTGAAGAAGGAAATAAAGCATGAAACTCCTTCAGAACATACTGGAATCAGAAGGTAATGGGATCAGCAGATTGGGTATAATACTGAAGCAAAATCTCCAAGTCCAGAGTTTTCAGAGGCAGATCAAAGGAACATGCTGGAAGGTCTGGAAAACTCTCAGAATTTATTGAGGCAGCAAGAGACCAAGGTCAGAGCTTGGTTTACGTTGTTCTTTTTGGTGAAGCAGAACTGCTGGCTCAGGTTTTAGGTAATGATGCAAAATCTCATATTACAAGATTTTGGATTTTGACAAATCTCATCACCATTTAATGCTCATTAATGCTCACAACCACTTTTGAGCATTCATCCAAGGGGTCTCTCCACGTGTGGCTTGGTAACACCCTTGTGCAGGCTTAGGCATGGGTCTATGCGCCACTTTTCGCCTATGGGTGTCACTTCTCCTTAATCCTCGCTTACTGTTCCAACCTAGGCTGAAAAGCTGTCCATCATCACAACTTTTAATGAACTCCCTTCAAGAACAAGTTAACCTCTACTGCATAGTATTAGTGCCATTTAACGTTTAAAAACTCACAAAGTCTTGCCTATAAATAGGACACCATGGTCCATTAAAAGGGGTCAAAAAAATCCAGAAAAACTCTAGCAAGAAAACATTGTGAAAACTCTGTCAAAATTCCTAGTGTTTCATAACTTTGAATTTCTTGCCTCCAAACTTCTTTGATACCCAATTTTCTCCTTGACTAAAGAACGCCCATACAGTTTCTGACCATACATACATATATCTTCTCCATCCACCCATTATAAAAAGAACCTGTCCAGAATACCATCAGCGCTAAAGCTAGCTCCAACTTACAGATTTTCTTTCAACAGCAAGGTAAGCACCTGCTGACTCTCATCATGCTGCTAAGCAACATCAGCTTTGCATGCTCAATAGATACAATGTAGATATCATGTTGCTGCTGTATGCGTTCTGAGGATTTTCATGCCTCTGAATGCTTAAGTAGGAAGTGGATCAGTTTAGAACCTGCCTGTGACCTTGTTGGTTCTGTCTTTTGAAACACTTTGATACCTACTGAGATTGTCCTAGGCATGCCTTCTGTTTTGTGGAAAAATAATAAAACTGCAGATGTTCTGGCTAGCATAGGGGGAAACCAAGCTCTGACTTTGACGCCAACACTTCTGAGGCCTGTTTTGCTGTCAATAATATCAGATATTCTAAAAATTATTGTGTGTCCAGCAGGGTCATAACTTCTGACTTCTCCATTAACAAACTTTTGTCTTGCAGCGCATGGGAGTCAGAACTTCTGACCTTCCCACTAACAGGTTTCTGTTTTGCAGGGCACCAGAGTCAGAAGTTCTGACTCTTACATTTTCACTAACAGGTTGATATCCTGTAGCAGGCCTGGGTCAGAACTTCTGACTTCCTCTCAGCAACACGCTAGCCCTCTCTCTCTTTCTCTTTTTCTTCTCCTTGTTATTTTCTTTTTTTTTAATATATTTTTCTCGTTGAACCACCCCCCATGTACAAGTGTGTATCCCCCATCCCCTAAATATTGTAATAGCGTAGGATTTTACATTTCTGCATTTTTATTGCTTTCAAATGTAAATGCTAGTAATTAGGATGTGTATGGCAAGATAAAAAAATCAATAAAATAGAAAATCCTAATTCAAGATAAAATCATGCATGCAATAAAACACACTTGCACATAAATACCCTTAAGGTATCTCCACTTGGTTGCCTAAACAAATGGCCATGGTATGCATGCTAGGTATCTTGGCAAAACAAAAACAAAACAAAAGATCATAGTCCCTCGATGACGCTGTCTTGGTTGCCTAAATAAAATGATCTAGTCCCTCAAGAATTGCTAAAGATACTTAGCACAATTGCTATCATGGTCAATACGATGACCCGCGCCTGTCCCGTTTAACATCCTAATACAAGTTTGTTTACTAAATACAATGGTAAAACAACACTGTCAAAAGGGTTAAAAATGTGTAGGAAAGATCTTTGAGTAAAATAAGATAGACAACTCTTAGTTACTTGATCAAAACTTGCAAAACATCCTTGCTATTTTCAAACACACTTCACAACACAATTTCAAAACATTTCCCAAATCAAACTTTCAAACATTGAAAATCTTCTCAAAAGACAAATACACCTTTGTATACATTCAAACAAGAATCATTACAAAGGTTGCCACAATGATGGCCTCTTTTCAAAACATCTTTCAAAACCACACACAAAGCACAATTTCAAACAATTGAAAAGCAAAAGCAAGTGATCTAAACAAGTAACTAAGAGCTCATGGATAACCATGGATGAAAAGGGTGCTTGCACCTTCCCTTTTCATAATCTACTCCCCGGACCCAAGAAAACATATCAAAGGTCTTTCCTGTGCTTTTTGACTTTTTCTTAGGATAAAATAAAAAGTCGGTGGCGACTCTTGCTAAACCAAAACATTTGCGAACACAAACATAAAATCCCAAGTCAGTTCTCCCACCGTATCACAGTGATCCATATGATTATGTTGATGATCAACAACTTGGAGATGAGGTAAATATTCCAACTAATGATGATGATAAAGGGGAAAATGATATGACTCAGGATGAGAATCTTGGTGAAGCTCCAGAATCATCTCAAGTTCAACTTAGGAGGTCTACCAGACAGAGACAATCTTCTACAAGGTATAATTTTGATGAGTATGTGAACTTGACTGATGAGGGTTAACCTGAGTGTTTTCAAGAGGTCATGGAGAATGATGAAATCAAAAGTGGTTGGATGCAATGTATAACGAAATAAAATCATTGCATGATAATCACACTTATGATTTAGTGAAGTTGTCTAAAGGCAAAAGGATTTTGAAAAACAGGTGGATTTAATAGAGTTAAACATGAGAGCAACTTTAAGTCTCTAAGATATAAAGCTAGATTAGTGGTGAAAGGTTTCCGTCAAAGAAAAGGTGCTGATTTTAATGAGATTTTCTCACCCGTTGTAAAGATGTCATCAATCAGAACTGTGTTGAATTTTGCTGCTACTCTTGATTTAGAGGTTGAGCAAATAGATGTGAAAACGACATTCTTTCATGGAGATTTGGAGGAAGAGATACACATGAAACAATCCGATGATTTTCAAGTTAAAGGCAAAGAAGATTATGTTTGTAGATTGAGAAAGAGTCTATATGGATTGAAACAAGCTCCAAGACAATGGTACAAGAAGTTTGAGTTTGTTATGTGTGATCAAGGATACAAGAAGACTACTTCAGATCATTGCACCTTTGTTAGAAAATTTTCTAATGATGACTTTATTATCCTATTGTTATATATTGATGATATGCTTATTGTAGGAAAAAATATTTCTAACATTAATAGGTTAAAGAAGCAGTTGGGAGAATCATTTGCCATGAAAGACATGGGAGCAGCTAAACAGATTCTTGGCATTAGAACCATGTGTGACAGAAAAGAGAAGAAACTTTGGATGTCACAAGAATATTATATCGAAAAAGTGTTGCAAAGATTCAAAATGAAAAACTCTAAGGCGGTAAGCACTCCTCTTGCTACTCATTTCAAATTGAGTTCTAGTCAAAATCCTTCAAGTGAAGGTGAAGCGTTTGATATAAAACGTGTTCCTTATGCTTCTACTGTGGGTAGTTTGATGTATGCAATGGTATATACAAGACCAGATATATCACATATTATTGGTATAGTCAGTAAATTTTTGTCAAATCCAGATAGAGAACATTGAAATGCTGTAAAATGGATTTTAAGATATCTTCGCGGTACTACTTCTATGAGTCTTTGCTTTGGAGGAGATAAGCCTACTCTAGTAGGATACTCTGACTCTGATATGGCTGGAGACATTGATTCCATAAAGTCCACTTCGGCTACATGATTAAATTTGTAGGGGAAGTTGTGGCTTGGCAGTCCAGATTGCAAAAGTGTGTAGCATTGTCTACTACAGAAGCTGAGTTTATTGCTATTACTGAAGCATGTTAAGAGTTACTGTGGTTGAAGAGATTTTTGCAGGAACTTGATTTTGTTCAAGACAAATATGTGTTATTTATTGATAGTCAAAGCGATATTCATCTTGGTAAGAATCCGACTTCTCATAATAGGTCCAAACACATTGATGTGAGATATCATTGGATACGTGATGTTTTGAAGCTAAGTTGTTGGAGTTAGCTAAGGTTCATACAGATGATAATGGTTCTAATATGATGACTAAAGCATTACCAAGAGAAAAATTTGAAGCATGTTGTGATATCGCCGATTTGGCAATTTCCTTCACAAAGTTGTGACAAAGAGATTTGTTGGACTTGAGTTCCCTTCCTATGTGGAGAAAGTCACAAATATGAATAGCTCATTTTTCTCACTTATATAAGTGGAGAGTGTTAATTTAGGGTTAAGAGAGATAGATAAAAATAAGGATTCAAAAAGAGAGAAAAGAGAGAACTCATTCCCGTTTTTTCTGCAACTGTCTCACTATAACAACGATCTCCGGTTCATTCACCGTTGAATCAAGCTGAAATTTGGTGGACTTGTTCGCAACACATATATCTAACTTTCGACCGTTGTGATCTTCAAATTAAGGTCTGTGTTGAGAGATATGGTCTTCGGATTGATGCTACAGATTTGGAAAAAATTCCAGCTTTTTTATTCTTATTTGTAAGTTAGTTTGCTTTGTGATTTGCGGTTGTTATCATTATTTTGTGAATCACTTTAAGACTCTCTTGTAACCTCAATTGATTATAGTAGAGCTATTTTCTTTAGTCTGAACGACTCGTGGTTTTCTCTCATATTGAGGGGTTTTACACGTTAAAAATGTCGATGTTCTTTTTGTGCATTTATTGTTCGGTTGCCGTCTTATATTTGTTGTTGATCCTCAAGGTTCCTACAAAATTGAAAAATATTATATCCGCTGCATTTTGTTATGTTATTTTGTCTTAATTTCTCATCAGTACATTCTACATGACAGTTAAGTAATAAGTAATAATTAAGTAAAAGAACAACACCTGTGGAATAACACAAAGGCGAAATATAGAGGGGTCTCGTAACGCAGACATGTATTTTAAGCTATCTTCAGCATGCAGCAAAGCATTAGTGACCATGTCGTTTAAGCATTGCACAGCCTTAACAGAGTTTTCCTCGTATTTCAAATCCTAGATGAAAAAAATTAAATTGGAATACAAAAGAAGCAAATTATACATTTGATAATCATGTATAAAATAGTTTAAAAAGACACTCATGTGAGTATAACGTAACAGTATGCAAAGAAAGATATTTCACCATCACACCCTTAAGTTTTACAAATTCATCGAAGAATCGTGAAATGGGGGGAGAAAAGGGTGAAAGAATGATTTAGATTAGAATAAATAGAAATTCTTATAAAGCCAAACCTCAAGTTTGCTAACATATTTACTCCAGATCTGCCGTGGCCAAATCATGCGTGACTTTGATATCTCATTGATGTCTTCCAGATAATCTTGAATAGTGTGGGCTTTCTGAAATCTCAAAAGGTTAACTGGAATGTAAGTATATATTTGTGAGCATATTTTTTTTTGCTATATATTACTTTCATGATACCTGAAGAAACAAACCCATTGAATTTGAAATGTCGTCTGTTGCCAGATCCTCTGTACCAAAGGCGTAGAAAAGTTTTGATAAACCAAGCCCAGTAAGTCCTGCCACATAATGGCAATATTCATCGTAGTCATCAATTGTGTCTACCTGTAAATTAGTATAAGTATCAGTATTATAGAAATGTTCACTTTAAAGAAACACTAGTTTGCATTAGGGTTGAAATTGAATCCATTAAGACAAAATCCATCAACCACATAAAAATTAAGTTAATGGATTGAACAATTTCATCTATCAAACATATTTGAATGATCCGATAAATTATTTTTATCATATACTTTAAATTCATTAAATCGTTTAAAAATTTAATTTTTTCAAAATACAAAAAATTAAAATTTTTTCAGAAAAAACCAAAGGCGGCTTTTTTTCAAAAATTTAGATATCGATTTTTTTGAAAATACAAAATCGATTTTTTCGGAAATACAAAAAAAATCAGTTTTTTTCCCAAAAAAAAGAGTTTTTTTTAAAATGAGTCGATTTTTTAAAAAAAAAATACAAAAAATTAACCTTTTTTAAAAGTACGAAAAAATTCAAGTTTTCTTGAAAATACAAAAAATCGATTTTTTTTCAAAACAAGTTTTTTTTTGGAAATACAAAAAATTGACCTTTTTTAGAAGTACGAAAAAAATCAAGTTTTCTTGAAAATACAAAAAATCGATTTTTTTTTCAAATCAAGTTTTTTTTTTTGGAAATACAAAAAATTGACTTTTTTTTGAAAATACGAAAAAAAATCGATTTTTTTTCAGAAATGCAGAAAAACAAGTTTTTTTTTTTAAAATACAGAAAATCGAGTTTTCCAGGAAATATGAAAAATCGAGTTTTTTTCTCTGAAAAAAAGAAAAATGACTTTTTCTCTGAAACATCGAAAAACAAGTTTTTTATTTAAAATAACAGAAAATCGACTGTTTCCTGAAATATAGAAAATCGACTTTTTTCAGAAATACAACAAATTCAGTATTTTTTCAAAAAAGCAAAAAAACGGAATTTTTTCGAAAATACAGAAAATCAATTTTTTTGGAATAACAGAAAACCAGTTTTTTTTATAGAAATACAGAAAATCAAGTTTATTTTTCGAAATTTATTTTTTTTGAAAATATCGAAAATCGAGTTTTTTTCTTAAATACAAAAAATCGAGTTTTTTTCCCGAAAATATATAATATCGAGTTTTTTTTTGGAAATACAGACAAACGAGTTTTTTTCGTAAATATATAAAATCGAGTTGTTATAAAAATACGAAAAATCGAGTTTTTTTTAAAATACAAAAAATTAAGTTTTTCTCAGAAATACAGAAAAACGAGTTTTTTTTAGTAATACAGAAAATTGATTTTTACCAGAAATATGGAAAATCGCCTTCTTATCGAAAATACATAAAGTCGGGTTTTTTTTGGAAAGACAGAAAATAGATTTTTCCATTGAAATACAAAAAAAATCGACTGTTTTGGAGATACAGGAAATCAACTTTTTTTTGGAAATGCAGAAAATCAATTTTTTTCTCAAAAAAACAGAAAATTGAGTTTTTTTAAGAAATACGGAAAATCGAGTTTTTTTTTGGAAATTCAAAATTTGAGTTTTTTTTTAAAAATATAGACAATCGAGTTTTTTTGAAAATAAGTAAAATAGTATTTTTTTTCGGAAATACAAAATATCAAGTTTTGCATGAAATACAGACATACGAGTTTTTTTTCCACAAATACATAAAATCTAGATTTTTTTAAATACAGAAAATTGAGTTTTCGGAAATACGAAAAATTGAGTTTTTTCGAAAATACATAAAAGTGAATTTTTTCGAAAATACATAAAATCGAGTTTTTTCCCGAAAATAAAGAATTTTTTTTTCCCGGAAATTAAGAAAATTGAGGTTTTTTAGGAAATACAGAAAATCAATTATTTTTCAAAACTACAAAAAAAAACGACATTTTCCGAAAGATTAAAAATTTATACAAATTATTATTTTTTAACTAACTGTATATATTTAAATAAATTTTTTGGACGGATGGATTGAATATTTTTAAGAGAGTTTTAATGGATTAACAATAATAAAAGGAATATATGCAGAACAGAATAACTGTATAACTTACCTCCTTGCAAATAAATTTGGCCATTCCAGCACCCATTCTTTTGGTAATGTCTTCAATTGTATCCTGATAACTGCAAAATTGATTGGCCCTCATTTTATTTTTCATCATAGACTGCAAAGCCAAAACTCTTCTAATCACATACACCAAAGAAAAGCTACTAAAGGGAGAGAATCTATAGCCCACATAGAACATCTCAAAGACCCAGACCAGATCAGCTGTTAATACTTTTGAGTCTTAGGTTTATTTTACATCGGATGAAAATACATATAATGTGCAAATTAAACAGCAAGTCATAAACCACATGTATGATGTATCACGAAATATCAAAGTGCGTTCCAGACAGATGTGCAAAGATAAGAACTAACTTCTTTCCAAGTTCCAGAAAAGCCATTGAAACATGATGAAACTGGTCCATTAGAACTTTGCACTCCTCCGTCCCGCCTTGTTACATAAAAACAATTAGCATGGTGATTAGCATCAATAAAGTATGAGGCATGTTAACCTTAAAACTATTTTCCTGAAAATTGATGAGGGCTATCTCTAAAATCCCTAAAATCAACCGCTATGGGAAGTAAAGCACGTTCCAAAATCCAATCCAATTACCGGAAAAGAATTTAGATGTGACTAAATTGAATTTTTATAAAGACAATCAAATAATACATACAATAGATTAGAAAGGAGTAGTTAAAATTATATCGGATCTTATCTTACTAAGAATGGAATCAAGATTCTTAAATAGAAAGGCATACTCACATCCAAAGTTCCAATCAAGATCATAAATGTGGCGATGAAAAGCTATTAGTATCGGAACCTTGACATCTGTCTCTACGCTAGTATCATCCTCTGCCAAAACAATAAGATCCTCTATACATCAATCACAGTATTCAACAAGCATTTTGATACTTAATAATCAATTGAAAAGTGGTGTTTAGGACATTCGAGAACAAACCCACGGTATCAAGAGCACGAAGAACCAAATAGAATATGCAAACCTGCAAAGGCCATAAACAAGTTTCAGATAAAGAGAAGAAAAAACGGAACGATTGAGAAATGAAGGAAACTAACAGCATCACGAAGCTCGGGACGAAGCTGCTGAATAACGAGACCGAAGCTTCTAGAAACTTTATTAAGCACAGAGTAACAGAATCCCCAATGTGGTTCCAGCGGGATCTTCTTCTCGGCGTTCCTCGCCGCGATTTTGAGCTTCAGCAACGGATACAAATCATCTGGATTCTTCAGAATCACTCCCAAAATCCCCATCTCGTTCTGTTTCTAGAACAAACTATCTCTCTTTCCGAGGGAAATGTGGATTGTCTTACCTTGTGGCGCTAACTTTACTCTGAAACAATGCCACCTACGCCACTTACGTGTTCCAACTTGTTTCTATAACCATTCTTCTGTTTAGTTCCCTCTTCGGTTACTGACTATCTCCGCCGCCATGCATCCACCGTTCATCGTCAAACGTCATCAAGACAAAACGAAAGCAGAATTTAATTTACTGTTAAATATCAAAATCCACTTCTTTTTTTTCTTCTATGCTTCTTTCTTGACACCGTAATTCATAGTGTAAAAACAGTATGCCTATTATATAAAGAGTATGAAACGTCAAAACAATAACCATCTCTCTCAATATTATAAACACCTCTAATATTTCATATTTAAAAATTAGTGAAACATTCATGTCTTCTTACAAGTATATTTTTAATGATTATTGAAAAAAATTAATTGAATACATAAATAATAAGAAAATATTTTTATTATAATTTTATGTTTTTATAATACATATAATTTTTCCAAAATATAAAAATATATTGGATAAACGATATATTTTTGCTGTGTATAATATTATTTTTGTTTGTATGAGAAAAATCATATGGGTATCCTTTATCTGTTTCTTTTTATTTTGTCAATAAAGATGTGTATATATTAACAAAAAGAATAAGTACTTGACGTTGGTTGGAGAAGGAATCAATCAAGCAGTTGTGAGGGTATCACAATACTGACGGTAGTTTCACAACATTCAATTCTGCCTCATTTGGTGGAAAATACTTCTTTTAGGACATAGATTTTGCAGATCTAAGCTAACTGTAAAAATGAAAATATTAGAGTTTCATAAATATGAAAACAGATAAGTATAAATAAAATTGGAATCTTGTAAGAAACTTATTATTACCTAGTTGAGCAATAATAAACTTTAGATTCTTGATTAATCATTCAGATCTGCACTACACCACAGCCATCAAACACTCTGGAAGAAAAAAAACCACCTTCATTGGCAAGATTCGGCCATCACCTTTTCATCACCATTCGAAAACCAGTTTCTTAATTTGTCGTCACCTCCGAACCGCCTGAAAGGAAGCAGATGAGGAAGAAGGAAAAAGAAAATAAAGAAGGAAGTTGTTGCAGAGTGGGAGAAAGAAAGGACGTGAGAGAGTGAGTGAGTGAGAGAGTCAAAATAAAAGAAATTGTGTCCTGGAAAAGAAAAGAAATAGATTCAGTAGTTCAGTTGAGAAAACGAAGGCAGAAAAGGTGAATAGAGCAAAAGATTCAGCTGGTTTTCAATGTTTTCGTCTAATAGTTACAAAATGCATGGCAAAAGACTCAAATTGCCCCAAAATTGCATACGTGTAATCAGCATAGGCAGAGGCAAATCAAGATTTTCCAGAGACTTAGATTTTCTCATATGGTAGATTCATTTAACATGTTGATATATCAATATGTGTAATTTTAATTTTGCACTTTGAATGATAAATTAATAGTATCAATTAGAGACGTGTTCGAACTTTTAGGGGTTAGTCTATTAGTTGAGGTTTGAATCTTGCGAGTAATGTTGTAAAAATGGTCTATTCGATCTTAAACAGGTCGGTCCTGACGGGCCTCAAGGTTTTTATGTCTGAGTCAAAAAAGTTAGGGAATTTCTTATACCACCCTATGTCATTGAAAAGAATTTTATGAAAACCCAATTTCCCCATGCGTTCTCAGAAGTGTATTTCCGGAGCACATCTTTTTTTGTTAAACTTTAGTTAATCTCGGAGATACATTTATAAGAAGGAATCAGAAATGTATTTCCGGAATTTATGCAGACAGAAGAAAAAGGTAATTTTCCTTGTTTCAAATGTTAGAAACTATAAAATGAATACAATATTATGTGCATGCCATGAATACAAATTAGTCAGCACTACAAAATGTGTCCAAAGTCGATAAAGTCGTTAATTAAAATATTATTCAAATACAATCCAAAGTAGATAAACAAAATATTATCGACACCAAAATACAATACAAGATATACAAATGTGAATACTACTTCACATGGCGAACTCTGAGTCGGTCCGTGACCCTCCTGACGTTCCATCGCTGCCTCATGTACTGTAGAGCCTCCTCAGCCCCTGCCATAATGGCGTCTAGAACACCTCTAACCTCAGAGTCATCAGGAAACAATCCTCCGTCAATACTTGTCTATCCAATCTTCACGATACGATAATGCCTATGCAACACATCATGAGCATGATCGGCCCTAGCCTACTGCTCCTCTATAATCTCCTAATGAGCTAGTCTAGGTGTGTTTTTTTGAGCATCATGTACCAGATATGGATGAGACACCCTGAAGAATCATAAGATGTAATTGTCCATGTAGCTCCAGTCGTCTAGTGCTAAGGTACTCCGGGCCTCATTTGGCACCAGATGATTTTCATAATCATCGAATAATACATTCATATCCCTGGGTTTCACCAGGGGAGGAGTAGAAACAGCAAGATCCCAAGAATGTACTATATATATTTGAAGTAACACATGACGCACTCAAGAAGATATGCATCTGTCTTGAGTGACCCGCATGCCAACCAACTCGAGTACAACACTGGAATCATCACACTGTGGTCGACGTATGCCTGGAAGTGTATATCATCAAACACCAACCGGTTAATATACACCTAGAATGGCTTTGTCGCCTGGTTCCCTCGGAGCGGGTCGAATGCAGCGGCACATGACTTTTCTTCAGTATATGCGGTACCAAGTGACCAATAGGATATGCAAAGAAAGTGTTGTAGGATCCACGCCTTAAAAAACAAGAATCATTCGTTAGTAACGACATCGAAATAATTTACAATGGCACACATACAATATAAGACTAAGAAATGTTACCGTCAAGAGTGTGATGTTACCGTTCATCTGCTTCGTCTTTCACTTACAGCCTTCAAATAGGTTATAGTACAATTACACCAAACAAGCGGCCCCCCAGTTCAAGTCATGGATTCTCTCAAAGTCATCAACGTATTGCATGTACATGACATCAATGTAAGTCGCTTGTGTGGCCTCAGGTGTCGGCTGGGGGTGTGATGTCTCTCCTGCCTCAAATACCATAGGTAAAGCAGTGTGACAACAAGAAGATGGCGGCGAGGAGGGATGACTTGGAGAACCTCGCCTTGTAACACCCTTCTACTTGAAGATGTGAAAAACACAAGAAGGAGGATTGAATTGTTAAAACTTGAAATCAAATGCAGACAACAAGTTATTTTTATCCTGGTTCGTTTGATCTCAAACTACTCCAGTCCACCCGTCAAGGTGATTTCGCCTCTCTCCAACGGGGTCTTAATCCACTATATTCAACTGAATACACAACTGCTTTAACAACTGCTAAAGCCTTCTTGAGTCTAACCACATACCGGTTTCTCAAGGAATTTCTTTTACAGATAAATGAGCAAATGCGTGTTTGATGTTTTCTAGAAAAACTATATATCACAACTATGATAATACATAATATGAAGCTTATGTGAAACTAGATTGCTAGATCTATAGAATAAGCGGTTGAGAGCTTTAGCAAACTGAACAAGTGAGGACGAAGATGATTGGCTTATGCGTATATGCGTGTAGGAGTATTGTAGAGTATTAGCCATTTCTTTTCTCACTGATTTGTTTAAATAGCTTGGGAATAGATACGTTGCTGTCCATAATTCTATTTCAATGCTCATAACGTTCTTTCCTTTTTGAGAAGATATTTGTCTTGGAATAAAGCCGTTGGTAATTAATCTGCCTTGAATGCAGTAACGTTGACACTTCAGAATGTTCTGCTTAACGAAAATCAGAGTGTTCTTGGCTTTGGCTTATTCTGGCACTTCTGAATGCTGGTGACATGGTAAGTATCTTGCTCAGAGTCAGAGTATGTTAAGCGCAGATTCTGTACATCAGGCTTCAGCGTAGCACATGTATTGATCTTCTGATGCTGACATATCTTCTGATGCTGATGTTGATATTGATATTCTGATGCTGATTTCATCAGAGTTTCCTGCGAATACACAGCATAATTTTGAGTAGCACATATGTATTATATAAATCTCATAATTCATTTAATCTTGTATTTTGTTATCATCAAAACTCTAACTGAGGGTTGTAGAATCAAACTATGTTCTAACAATCTCCTTCTTTTTGATGATGACAAAAACCAGATTTTTTCAATTAAAATAAAATGATGAAAGTATCAGAGTTTAAGGATAAAGAGGAAACGGTATCAGAGATAATCAAATACTGAATAAAAGTTATCAGAGCTAAGAGGGTAAGGAATAAAAAGTATCAGAGTAATGATGAGAAAAACTCCCCCTGAGTTGATTATTTCCCTTTGATTCCTTGAGACCTTGAGCATCAGAACTTTATTGAACTTTCTTTGAGCATCCGAATTTTGCTTTATCAGAGTTCATCATATTCTTGTACCTGTAAGATTTCCAGAACAAAGAAATTCAAATATATAAGAATGTTAGAATGTTTGAGACTTATGCCTCAGTAATCCGTTATTGAAAAATATCATTCTTTCTCCCCCTTTTTGTCAGTTATCAAAAAGCATAAATAATCAGAGTTAAAAAGATCAGAGTAAAACACGTTTGTATTAAAACAGAAGCAATGATAATTTAGAACAAGTAGGAATATTATAGACAGACATGTAAAGAAAGCAAGGAAAACACAAACACAAATCAGAAATATTGATTGAAAACGAAAGTAAGGGTAAAAGGTGTGAATGGTGTGAATGATGTTTAAATAGATTTCGAAAAAGTTTTTTGGAAACATAAACGGTTAAGAGAGAGAAATAAATCATGATTAATAGCATTTAATGATAGTTGATTTTAGGGGATTTCAGAAAGATACTTAAACGGTTACCAATGACATGTGTCTCAATGCATCCAATCAGCGCTTTGCCTTTTCAGAAACGTGAACGCGTGTTCTGCCTTAGGAAACAACTGATGACTGGATGACACTTGTTTGATTGAGTGAAC